GCCCTTGGCAGCACTTTGCTTCTGCCGCCAGTTTGCCAGCAATGCGTCGATGAAGGGGGCGCGCGATCGTCGGGCGCGCTCGCGCGCCCCAGCCAGCCGCGGCACGTCGAGCGCTGCGCGCGTGGAGAATCTCCTTGAACCTGATGCCCGTGGCCGCTTGGGGACCCCGACCGATCGAGCGAAGCGCCCTCGGCCACGGAGCCCAGCTTCCACGGCTGAGCGCCCCCCCCCCCCCGCTGCCCGCCAAGCGGCGCCCTCGCCGCCCGCAAAATGGCCCAGGCAGCAGCGGCGGCTAGCGGGGGGGGAGGGGGAAGCGGGGGGGGAGGCCTTAGACCTTGGACCTTAGCGCACCTGGGAGCGAATGATCCACGCACATCGATGAAGCTGTGCACAATCCGGCTTGCAAAACTCTCGAATTCACCACTGACAGAACTGAAAGAGTTGGCTGAAAAACGCCCCGTGCGCAGCTTCTGATGCGCATATACGCTGCAAGAGTGGGGACTCCGGCAGCGCGGACTGTTCGGGCCTGGTGAGCAGCATGCCTCAGAGGAGGCACGCAGCCAGAGGCAGCTGCCCAACGTGCGCTACCTCCCATCCACCCTTGCGCCCCCGACCCTGCGACCGAGGCGCGCGACGGTGCTGAACTGAAGGCCCTCCGCTGGCATCTCTATAGAGCTGCTACTCTGCCGGGGCCCTTCCCCCCGTCTTCGCCCCCGCCGGGCCCTGGACACTAGGGGGGGTGACTCCTGGAAGATTCGAATGAGACTGGCTAAGATTGAACAAACTCTGGAGGCCGAACCACTACCCCTCTCGCCGAGCAATCCCCTCCCTTCCTGCCCCTCGAGCCTCGTGCTTGCGCGGGAAGCTAGCGCCTCTGCGGTCCGCGGCGCTGACGATCGAGAAGCATCTGCACCTCTCGCTCCAAGGCTCCTCTCGGCGCGCCGCCCATAAGCTTCCTGCCCTCTTCTCGAACAAGAGCTGCTCGAACTTGGAATTGAACGCGAGAGCCTCGGGCGAACCCCCAAGCAGGAACTGGACTTTGACCATCTCCTCCTTCCCCATCGACCTTTTTGTTTTTGCCCGCTTCACCTTCAGGATTTTGAAGTGCTCCGCTGCCTTCGTGTCCCCTTCGTCCTGCGACATCTGCCTCTCCCAGAATTCCCAGAATATCTGCAGCTTCTGATCCTCCCCCTGCCCTTCCTGCGCTCGCTGGATGATGGTGCAGGGCCACTCCGAACAGCGCGAGATGAGGAGGCCCTTGAGGATTGGGCGGGGGCCTTCTCCTCTGCTTAGCGTTTCTTGCTTCTCTTTGGCTCTGGACCGCCTCCAGAAACTCTTGGATCACGTCGATTTCGAGCGGCACCAGGAAAGAACTGAGTAACGCGCCTGGCCTCACTCGCAAGTCGGCCGGGCTCGCCAGCTCTAGCTTGCCCACCGCCACGGTGAGGCTGTCGAGGTCCTGGCGACGCTGGCCTCCGCGAGGTGGGGGGCGGTCGTCTCCGCCACCTGCGCCTCCCGCCGCCTCCGCCGCCTGGGACCCCGTGGCAGGCTTCTTGAGTGCTGGTTCCACCGATGCCGTCGCCACCCGCTTGCCCATTCAGGCAAGCTTTGCAATCGTTTCGGGCATGGGCGGATGAGGAGGAGGAGGAGGAGGCGGAGGAGGAGGAGGAGGAAATGGAAGAGGAAAGATAGGAGGACGGGGAGGAGGGCGAGGAACAAAAAAAGAAAGGATAATCAATGAGAGCAGCAGAGGCCCCCGGAGGCCCTGGAGGTTCCCAGAGGCCCCAAACCGTTTGAGATCCCTGGACGCCCCGGGAGGCCCTCAAAGAGCAACAAAACAAAAATACCCAGAAACCTCGATCTTCGATCTTCGAGCCTCGATCCTCTGGTGGTGGTATTGGAGGGGAACTTAATTGGGGGGTGAAGAAAAGGGCCGGGCCCTTTAAGGCTTCTTTTGCAAGCAGCAGGGGTTCAACAAAGGCCTTGAAGGGCCGCTTCCGGTTTTTTCACCCCCAATGTAGTCGTTGATTCGAGGATGGGGTCTTGAGAGGTGGAGACCTTCGGATAGAAAGGGGTCCAAATGTGGATTCCGGTTGTTTGAGGTGCCGCGCCCCTATCACTTCATCCCTATTTTTGAACCGCCAATTTAGGTCACGGTGACCCAAAAGGGTGTCCAGCTGCAAGAGGGTGGTGCAATAGATTTGGGGCAATTGTGTTGCAAATGTACTTCGCCGGACAATTGTATTGTCTCGCATTGCAGCGAATGTATTGCACGCGAAAGTTCAACAACACATTTGCGCCCCAGGGTGTATTGCACGCCCCAGATGTAATGCAATCGCACAAACCTATTGCACCAAATCTAGTGCAGCACCCCCTGGTCGCAGGACCCCCTTTCGGGTCACCCCCCATTACCACCCGCTCGAGATCCTCAAACCTCGAGCCTCGATCCCCTCGACCCACGAACCTCGATCCCTGCGGCACTGGTACACCCAGCGGCGGCCTCGTGCCGCGAGGTCGGCGGCGCCGGCGCGTTGACCGCCGCTGGGGGCTCGCCGGCCCTGCGCAAGTTCTCGGGCTTGACGGACATCTGCTGGCCCGACCTCTGTGGCCCGCCCTCGGACTCGCCCTCCGTCCACTTCCTCGTCCCCCGGGCACTCTGCACCCCCTGGTTCCTCCTGCTCGTCCTTAGTTCCTCGTTCTCCTTACCTTTCCCTTCCCTTTTCCTCCTTCTCCCCCCCGTCCCCCTTCCATCCTCCCCTTTGGATCTGGGGTAATCGTGCCCAGGCCCTTTTTCCCAACCATCCTTCTCCCATGCGTTTCACCCACCCAGCACAGCGTTTCGTGGCCCCATACGGAACTCCACCGACACTCCCAGTGGCACCGCCCGCGTGCGTCCGCCACCACCCAGCACAGCCCTTGCTCCCTGCGTTTCACCCACCCAATACAGCGTTTCGTGGCCCCATAAGGAGCTCCACAGACAGTCCCACTGGCACCGTTTCGTGGCCCCATAGGGAGCTCCACCGAAGGTGCCAGTGGCACCGCCCGCGTGCGTCCGCCACCACCCAGCACACCCCCTGCTCCCTGCGTTTCACCCACCCAATACAGCGTCTCGTGGCCACATAGGGAGCTCCACCGAAGGTGTCAGTGGCACCGGCCGCGTGCACCCGCCACCACCCAGCACAGCCTTTGCTCCCTGCGTTTCGCCCACCCAATACAGCGTTTCGTGGCCCCATCGGGGGCTCCACCGAAGGTCCCAGTGGCACCGGCCGCATGCGGCCGCCACAACCCAGCACAGCCTTTGCTGCTCCACCGAAGGGTCCCAGTGGCACCGCCCGCATGCGTCCGCCACCACCCAGCACAGCCCTTGCTCCCTGCGTTTCACCCACCCAGTACAACGTTTCGTGGCCCCATAGGGAGCTTCACCGAAGGTCCCAGCGGCACCGCCCGCATGCGTCAGCCACCACCCAGCACAGCTCTTGCTCCCTGTGCTTCACCCGCCCAGTACAGCGCTTCGTGGCTCCATAAGGGGGCTCCGCCGAAGGTCCCAGTGGCACCGCCCGCATGCGTCAGCCACCACCCAGCACAGCCCTTGCTCCTTGCGTTTCACCCACCCAATACGGCTTTCCGTGGAAGGTCCCAGTGGCACCGCCCGCATACGTCAGCCACCACCCAGCACAGCCGTTGCTCCCTGCGTTTCACCCATCCAGTACAGCGCTTCGTGGCCCCATAAGGAGCGCCACCGACGAAAATATTCATAATTGCGGTACTCACAACTGCATATGGTTGGGTCCTTCGCCAGGCTAAATGTGTTTTCTGATGCCCTTCATGCTTTCCTTCGTACCTTCTTGTCCCTCCTCCTGCTCCTCCTCCTCCTCCTCCTCCTCCTCCTCCTCCTCCTCTTGCTCTCTCCCTTCCTCATTTCTCCCTCCCCCCTCTCTCCTCCTCCATCTTCCGCCTTCCATCATCGTCCCTTCCTCCATCCTCCTCGCTCCTCCTCGCTCTTCCATGGTGTGGCCCATGAGACAGGTTGGTGCGCAAACAGGGATTGTTTCGCAGTTTTGTCCCCAACTGTTTTGAATGCCAACGGATTCCCCGTGCCAGGGTATTGTAATACTAAAGTGTTGTGGCCTCGGTGTTGGTATCATCGCGCTCCAAATGCTAGAACATTTCCAGACTTCATAAACAAGGCCGCCAGTCTTGACGTTCCAGGACATCAGCCGCGTTGCCTAGAATCTGTCTTTTTGGCCGACTCCGTTGGCCTGAATGAAGGAAACCTCGCCGCTCTCGCCAGCGTGGTTCAAGTCGCTTCTGACAACGCCCTGCCGCTGATCATGGCAGGTGATTTGTACGTGTGCCCGAGCAAAGTGATCAAACTGAGTTTCCTACCGTAGCTGCGGTCCAGGTCGTTGCCCCATGCACACACAAGTCCTACACCAAGAAGAGCAAGTCAACTATTGACTATTTTGTGGGGTGCAGATATTTCGAGAACTTCTTGAAGCAGCCCAAGAGTTTTGGTAGACTACCCATGCAGTTCGCATAGACCAGTAGTTGGGGATACGGTGATCAGGGCCACGTACCTCATCGCTGTGCTGGAACAAACGCAGTATTTACATGTTTCGGACCCAGTGGGCTAGGGGCAAGTATCACTGACAAGGGGAGGGAGGTGTGCCAGTGCCAGTCCAGCCCAAATCTTGAGAAACTTTCCTGGCCGTGGTGAACACCACCTACGGCTACCTCGTGGGCGACACATCCCGCGCGCTCAGCATCATCACAGACGCGCCGTTGAGAAGTATCGGGCGCAGAGCCCAGGTGCCAAGTACGCAGTGGAAACCTGCCAAGGCTATTGATGCCCAGGATAGGAGTTGGAGGAATGCAGCAGCTAGCCTCAGATGGCTTGAGGATGATCTCGAGGAGTGCCACCAAGTCCACCTTGATCTTGCATCGCCGCCAGGTGCTTTAGATGTTGTGGCGGTGTGCCCGGCACTCATCAATCGCGTGCGCACCTGCGTCCAGGCCCCGCTGTCGGACGCTGCCATACGGGGGCCTCGCTCCGAACTCCTCGGGAAGTGTTCGGCAACCTTGGTGCGAAGATCGCCGGCGCCCTCGATCGAGGAATCGCTCGGGGCCGCCATGGCGATCGGCAATCATGAAGGCATTATGTGAAGGAGACCATGTGCAAAGGTGTCGGGTGTGCCCATCGCTGGGGCAGTAGCCTTGCATCATGGCGACCGTCTAGAGTCTGGAGTCCTTATCGAGCTAGGTGGTCAGGGCGACCCTGTTAAAAGGCCGACGACCTGTCTGTCTGTCTGTCTGTCTGCCTGCCTGTCTGCCTGTGTGTACGTGCGTGCGTGCGTGCGTGCGTATGCGTGCGTGCGTGGCCAGTATCTGGCCAGATCAGCTTCGGTCGGCAAGCCGAAGCTTCAATCGCGTCACTGCTAAGGCCTGGGAGGAGCTCCGCCCGAGAAACTTTAGCCTCCTGGAAGACGTCCTGCCTGACCTCGTGCGCAGGCTCCTCATAGCCATCCAGAAAAGTGGACGCCTTCCCCTATCAAATTAGGGCAATCGCGGCGGTGCTCATTGAAAAACGCAAGCCAGGTCCTAACCCAGGTCTTAGCTACAGGGGCATTTGTATGATGCCTGGTCTTCAAAGAGTCTGTGGCTAACATCGGCAACTCGAGTTTCGAGCCTTTGGATCGAGCTCGTCCTCGGAAGTATCTGGCGCACCAAGATGGCAGAGGTGTTCTGGGAATAATCCTCGAGCAAGCAATGCTTGCTGAAGGACATTTCTTGGGAGACAATAAAAGTCTCCCAGCAACTCTGAGCATGTAGACGGGCAGGTTTGGAGAGAGCAGGTCCAGAAGACAAACTTCTCGGATTCGTCAGTCATCGTTGGCAGCATCTAATACCGAGCGCCCAGCAAGGCGGCCACTCGCACATCAGCCTTGCCCGCCGGCTGCCCGATGACAGGGATAGAAACAGCATGTTGGGCTGCGTCTTCTGCCGGGCAACAATCTTGTTTTTCGCCAATCGACATCTTGGTGGCCCAGGGGCCCCGAGGTGCAGCCGACGATTTCCATCGACGATTGTATTTTTTGGCCGGACACAGCTGCAATCCACGCGCATTGACTGCAAATTAGCCACGGCCTCAACAAGCATGCCTCAGTCGATCGTCCTCGAGCTTCAGTGTGGCACCGCCAGGCGTAAGGCTGCCGCTGTGGCGTCCACGCCCGGGATCCAGGCCGATCTTGAGACCGAGCTCGGGCATTGAGCTGTCTACGAGCGCCCAGCCCGGGGCGCGAAGCCAGACGTGGCCAGCTGTGGCCACGCTCCCATCCACATAAACGTCACCAGCGAACAAGTCGTCGGGCGAAAGCCCGCCGCGGGGCCACAAGACACCCTCCCGACCTTGATGGTTGGGGGGTCCAATGAGGCAAATTCTGGCACTCTAAGAGGGGCCAGGCTAATTAGGTCACCCCCCTCTGTCTTGAGCGATCTCTTCCAAGATGGCTCCAAAAACGCCTCCAAGGCTTCCAAAAGCACCCCAAGAGGGCCCCAAGGAGGCCCCAAGATGCCCCCAAGCTGCCCCCGACAGACTCCCAAGAGGCCCCCCAGAGGTCACAAGAGGCTCTCCGAAGCTCACCGAAGCACACATAAGGCCCTGGGGTCCGCCAGGGGGCGCCCAAGACGCCTCGAAAGGCCCAAAAGCTCGCCATTGTCCTCCTCCTCCTCCTCCTCCTTTTCCTCCCCCTCCTTTTTCTCCCCTCATTCCTCCTCCTTCCTTCGATTTCTGGGGTACGACGGTTTCTCCAGCTCTTTGTCTCTCTGTATGCTTCCCCACATCCCTGATCAGGGCAATTCGTATGGACATCGTTGCTGGAGGGGCTGGTGGGGTTACTTTTTTTCGTTCGCGAGCGCGCAAGAGAACGCCAGGCGCCGTCAAGGAACGCGGCTAACGAGCAGCGGACTACATTCCGCACTAGAGCGCACAAGAGGCTGGCGGGGATACTTTGTTTGATTCGCGGCCCGCAAGGAAAAGTCCAGAGGGAGGTAAGAGCTGGCGGGGATACGCGAAACGTCAAGAAATTCTCATCGAGCAAGAAATCGTTGGTAACTAATATTTGGTCAAGCACCCTCAGTCGGGAACCCTGATCACAACAGATTTCCCCAATGATTCCTGAATCAGAACTGCAAAATAATAATCATTAATACATATTCCTTCGTAATGCATCCGGATATTGGAACCCTTTAAACAAATCTCGACCGAAAAGGAACCATTCATACGGAATCCTCAACTGGGAACCCTTTTATGCAAGAACCCTTAGCAAGGAACCCTGAAGAAAGAAACCGCGCCAGGGAACCATTCGTACAGATCCCGTCTGACACAATATTTACTACGAATTCCGACATAGGGTGTACATCCTACGGATTTCTTAAAAACAAGACCTTGACATGTACTCTAAATGAAGGAACCGTTAGGACGGACAGGACATCTGTGATAGGGAACCCTGAATCGCGGACTATTCGCAGGGAGCCCTGACTAATGGAACCCTAATAAGGAATCCTCGCCGCGATCCTAAATAAAGAACAGTGATTCCGAAATCCTTAGTAGGGGATCCGTGGTGCGGAATCCTTAATGGGAAATTCTGCGTAAGGAAACCTTGGTTAAAAACAAGGTACCCCCAGTAACGAATTCGATATCAACAAATTCAAACTTGGAGTCCATGGCAAAGAACCAACAACCAAGAATTCTTCGTACGACTCTTTAAAAACAAGCCTGGAAAATAATACTAACCGAAGGGTCTTCCGTAAGGAATCGTTAGTACAGGACCCTATACACATACAACTTACTACTGAATCCTTCAAACGAAATCCTCAACTGGGAATCCGTAGCACGGGGTCCTTAATACATAACCCTCAAATTTCAGAAATGATATTTCGTGAGGACTCCTGCGCCGGGATAATACGGAAACCTTGGACGGGACGGACGGGACACCTCCACACGTACTCCCGGGCACAGACATACTCCCAAGTAGGCAGTGCTTAACGAGAAATCATGTGCAAACGTGCCTTTGATAAGCGGGTCCTCAGAGGGAACCCTACGTGAGGAGTCCTTCGTGCACATACCTTAATGGGACGTCCTTCTCACGACGTCGTAAGGATCTGTGTCCCTCAGTAGGGAATCGTCATCAAGGCGTTCTTGGTAAAGAATCCATACGAGGGAAGCCTGGCGAAGAACTCCTCTACAGATAATGATTATTCAAGAATCCGTAGTCGGGAATCATGACTCAATAATCCTTCCTAGGAATTCCTCATACGGGGATGTTCCATAACAAATTCGTCATGCAGACTCCCTGATAGGGAATTCTCAATCGGGAACCCTGCGGTGACTGTGCCAACAGGCCAAGCGCACTCAACAAGGAATCCTTGACCCAGCTCTAGTTGGATCCTCGTAAAGCGGGATCCAAGTTTAATAGGCTCGCATTAGAGCTGGGTCGAGCTGTAAGGGAATTTGATTAGATCTGGATTCAGCTGTAACGGGCTTCTTTTATGGCTGCATCCAGCCGTCGAGGGACTAGATTAGAGCTGGGTTCTGCCGTATGTTTCTCATGTCCTCCTCCCCCTCCGCGACCGCGTCCAGCAACACCCCCTTCCCAACAAACAAGACCCAAACATACACCACCAAATCTATGAAATCGGGCACTTCATGGATCATACCCGGATGTTTGTCTCAATGCATCCTTGTTTTCCAGGCGCTTGATACTTGATGGGCTGGAATCCTTGACATCGCCCAGGGATGCATCGGGTCTGCCGCCCCTCCTCCTCCTCCTCCTCCTCCTTCTCCTCCTCCTCTTCCTCCGCCTCCGCATCGCCCACCTCGCCCTCCTCTCCATCTTTCCACTCCCTTTTCTCCCTTGCCCTCCTGCTTCTTCCTCCTCCCTCCTCCTACCTCCTCCCTTCCTTCCTCCCCCCTTCCCTCCTCCTCTTCGTCCTCCCCGCTCTCCTCCCGCTCCTCGTCCTGCTTCCACTCCCCTTCCTGCTTCTCCTGCTCCTCCTGCTCCTCCTCGTCATCTCCCTCCTCCTCTCGAGTAGAGGATTCGCTACAGAAATGATGTCTGTTCGAATGATACCCGAGAGAAGCCCCGATCAACATCTTTTGAGGGCTATGGGGCTATGGGGCTATTGGGCTATAGGGCGATGGGGCTATGGGGCTATAGGCTATAGGGCTTTAGGGCTATAGGGCTGAGGGGCTATAGGCTCTGGGGCTCTGGGGCTATAGGGCCAGAGGGCTATGAGTCTATAGGGCTATGGGGCTACAGGGCCATAGGACCTAGAGCTATAGGGCTACAGGGCTATAGGGCCAGAAGGCTATGAGGCTGCAGGGCTATGGGGCTGGGGAGCTAGGGGGCTCTGGGGCTACAGGGTCATAGGGCGATGACTCTATAGGGCTATGGGGCTATGGGGCTGTAGGACCATAGGGCTATAGGGCTATAGGGCTGTAGGCATATAACGCTATAGGGCTATAGAGCTATATGGCTGTAGGGCTACAAGGCTAAAAGTCTATAGGGCTCAAGGGCTCTAGGGCTATAGTGCTCTAGGATTATAGGACTATAGGGCTACAGGGCTATAGGGATACAGGGATATAGGGCTGTAACGCTATAGGGCTCTTGGGCTATAGGGCTAGAAGGCTTATGGGCTTCTGCGCTATAGGTCTATAGGGCAATTGTGCTATAGCGCTATAAGGCTACAGGGCTATAGGGCTACAGGGCTATAGGACTTGGGGGCTATAGGGCTACAAGGCTATAGGGCTATCAAGCTATAGGTTATAGGGCTCTAAGGCTATAGGGCTGGAAGGCTACTGGGCTATAAGACAACCGGGCACCCGGGCACCTGGGCACCCGGGCACCCGGGCACCCGGGCACCCGGGCGGCCCGGGCGGCCCGCCTGTGCATCCAGGCGCACGTGCATCCGGGCACCCGGGCGGGCCGCGGAAAACAGCGGCAAAACTCAGCTAATATGAATCCGCTAAGACCCCTACAGAAGCAAGCAATGACTGGAGAACCATATGCATCCGCTAGGACCCCTACAGAGGCAAGCTCTGGCTGGGGGAATACGAAGAATGCTCCGTCGATCGATAGAGCAACCGACGTGTTTCTCGTACTTCGACGAGCAGATCGGTTCGGGGGTAAATCAAGTCAGTGGTCGATCCCCCACTCGATCCCTTATCAGCATCCCATTATTGTCCTCCTCCCTGTCCCCCCTTCGCCCGCTTCCGCGCGCGGCAACCACTAACGAATCGATCCAGCCCTGGGCCGCCCTGCTCTTCGCCGTCGAACTCAGCGCACGACAGTGGCCAGCAGAGGGGAGGTGGGTCAGACATGTTTTCCCAGGGCGGATGCGTGCTCCTGAGGCGGTGCGAGGCGTGCCCCGAATGCGGGGAGTGGAACGGCCACGCGCCCTGCATTCATCTCCCGACCTCGCTGCCCGGGTTGCCCAATGATTACCAGGGGGCTATTCAGCCCGCGCCTGGGTATCGATCCTCGGGGATCTCGGCATGCGGTGACTGTGGATATATCTGGCCCTCCAAGGGCTCGACTACATCCATGTCGACCGCCTGCCGAGGTCCTGAATATCGATCCCCCAGGCGATGGTTAATGGACAAATCCAAGTCTCGAAGAATTGCCCAGCCTGGCGCGTCCCTGGCATGATGGAGAAAAACAGACAAGCGCACTGGTATGCAGGCTCTGGCGCAATCCTACATTTCCCCTACCTCCTCATCTCCCAATTCATCACTAAGCGAATACTCATGCATATTCCTCCCAATGCTGCACGTGAGCCACTGGAGTATGTATCTGCGATCTTGGCAGGTCTCGTGAATGCTTGGGGCGATAGTCATCTGCGTGCCCGTCCATGGAAAACTTGGCGTAAGTGAAGGTTATGACACCTCGTCGCGGTTGCCCCACAGACAGACCCCCCCAATGGCCTCCAACAGTCGTGCACATGATAACGAATCCCAGTTCACGGGGTGGCGACAGACATGAGACGGTCCCTTTGAGTCCTGGGCCGAGGCCTTGGGCTCCACGAAGCTTCTTTGGCATCCGCCGCCTCCAAATGGGTACGGCCCCAAGACCCCCGACCTCGTGATTTGCTCACAACGTGGACCCCCAGAGGTCTTGATCCATTCCGCGGGACCGGTTTTCCATCCTGAGTGTTTTTTTATGAGCATCGGGCGCAAGAGGGTATGGAAGCAATACCCAAAGACGCCGGCGTGGAAACATGAAGACGACCATCCCCCGACACTCCCCAGAGCCCCGACGTCGTGTTGTTTGTTCATAACTTCGACCCCCAGAAGCTGGACCCCTTCCTCGGGACCTGTTTGTCATCCCGAGTCGTTCTGTTGACGGTCCGCGGTCCTGGCGCCCGGCGAGGGACCCCGGAGGCCGAGCAACCTCCTGCCGTGATGTTTTCCCAACGCGAGGGGGTCTGGGCCCCCCCGGGTGCCGCGCGAACATGCAAAGCAGCCGCAGCGCCCTCGCGGGGAGAGAGAGACGCCCCCTCCCGCGGACCCGTCGAGCTTCACGGGCAGCCTGCCCTTCTCCGCCGCCTGGACCGGGTCGAACGGCAGCACGGCGCACAGACGCCCGTTTAGCTCCGCCCGAGACAGGGCCTGCAGGATGACCTGTGGGAGAATTCGCCGAGGTACCATGCTGCGCGTGTGGGACGCTGCAGAGGTCTTCTTCGTCGTCGTCGCCAGTCCCAAGGAAACTGAAGAACGAACGAGGAAAACAAATATCGTAATTGAGTCCATTCCCTTCCATTTTCCCCTTCCCTGGCAGGAGGGAGGGTTCGGGGGGGTGGGGGCACAGGCGGGGTACAGGGTTCCTGGGGGAAGCCCCGCCTTCAGGGGTCGGCGGCACCGGCCGTAAGGCCTTCGCACGAGACACTGCGACGACACCGCTACGCCATGGTCCTCCTCTCCCGAGGCACGTTCTGACCAGGACTCCGAGGCGAGTCCAGCCATGGGCGATGAGGGACCCCCCAGTGCGAAAGCGAGGGAAGGGTATCGGCGGTCGGTACATGCTTTCCTCTGCCGAACCTTGTCCCCAGGTCTGAGCTCTTGCCCTGGAGATCTGGCAGAAGCGTCGCTTTCCTGAGTGGCAGCGCTAGGGGGACTGGCTCAGGAGGGGGGGAACATGTAGGATCACCGCCCTGGAATCGGCGATGCATCAACGATTGATCGGCGATGGGCCCCTGATAGCGAATCCGCGCGTTCCCAAGCTGCGTGTGCCAGATGGTTCCTGTTGGGGATGAGTGGACGATTGAGGCTTGCTGCGCAACCCTTAAGCCTAGCCCCCCGAGCATTGCCCCTGATCTCCGGCAGGGGCGGCCGCGTGCTGCTGCCATGGCCAGGCCTGGCTGTGCAGGACGGGGTGCCAGCGGGCGCTGCCAGGCGCAAATTGGCGGGCCTGACGGAGAGCCGCTGCCCGGAAGACAGCAGCGAGACCGCGAGCCGGTCCTTCGGCGCCCCGCTCGCGAAGGGCAGGATGGTGGCCCTCTGCTCGTTCAGGTCTGTCTTCGACAGGCCGTGCAGCACCACCGCGTCCCCCTCCCTGAACTCGTACGCCTCGTGGAAAGGGCCAAACGTACCCCCAAGGCGACGTGCCCCCAATGAGGTGCCGCAGCGGCCACGGCTCCAGCCACGGTGGGCGCCAACACGCAGCCTTTGGGCGTCCCGAGGTGGGCCCCGAGGCACCCTCTCCAAGGCACGTCTGGTCTGGGGTGCGCATGTCGGGAGCGGCCAAGAGGGGGGTGTCCAAGAGGGCGGGGTGCAAATCATGACCGGCGGCATGTGCGCGGCCCAGCGGGGGGGTCGGGGACGTAATGAAATAAGAAGGGACGCCATGAAATCTGGGGGAATATCATGGCCCCCGCCACGATCTCCCCCCCCCCCCCGAGTCATCACCCCCCTCCTTGCCGCCCCCGAGCTTGGCCTCCCTCGGGCCTCGCCCGGGCCGAGCCCCACGTAGATGAGCGGAGGCATGTCCTCGCAGGTGTCCGCCCGCTCGCGGGCCCGCGGCTCCCGCGCCGCCTCCGCGGCGGGCCGGGCCGCGACCTTCGGCGCCCCGGGGGCCGCGCCCAGGCAGTCCAGCGGAGGCACGTCGTCGTCGCTGCCGGCCCCAGTGCTGCCAGTCGCCGCCGACAGGCCGCGGGCGGGCGGCGAGGCGCCGACGTACTCCAGCGGAGGCATCTCGTCGTCGCTGCCGCTCTGCGGATCGCCGACGGCGTGGTCCAGGCTCTGGGGGGGGACCTCCAGCTCCCTGCCGCTGCCGTCGAGCCTGATGGGCAACGTGCCGCCAGTGGGCTTGAGGAAGGGCATCACCGTGCCCCTCTGGCCGTTCAGCTCTGGGTCGGGCATGCCGCGCAGCGTTACCCTGGCCCCCTCACGGAAGACGTGCCGCTGATGGCGGGTGGGGGAAGTGAGCGTAGGCACTTCAGCACGAAGATCTGATACGAGGGCTGGGTGAATAAGCATGATTCAGAATTTCGGGTTCCTTAGAAGCTCCCTGGGGAATGGAATCATCTTACCATGGAGAAAAACGAAATGAATCACTTCCCCGGCAATTACCCTTCGCCACCTCTTTTCTATTTACCGTGCACCCTCTCGAATCTGAGATGGTTGGACAACGCTTCCTCCGCTACTCTCGAACCTGAAATGCGCCCCTGTGTAGCGACAGCGCATGGATCCGCGGGGGCAGTCTCTGCGTACATACTCTCATCCGTTGCTCGCGGGGAACCCCAGGGACCCTTGCGAGGGAAGCCTTCTCGAGGGCTTCCCTCGCAAGGGTTGGGGGGACTCGAACTTCTCCAAGCTCAGCGATGCGCTTGGGGACCCAAGTCTCAAACAAAATCCTCACCGCTGGACCGACAATACTCGTGAAAACCGCGATACCGAAAAAACACATCCAATCGAATGGTTCAAACCTCTTATGAAACCCAACAACCAATGTGTCTCGAATTCGCGCAAAATCGCCATGCACTGACGATAGGCAGCCGTGAAACCAAGAACTTGCGATGCACATGACATTGCGGGAAAATGAACCGGCTACGGTGATAGACAGTGCATGGCGATACGACCAAACACATTGGCTCTAGATCCATTCGGGAAGTCTCATGTGGTGATGCTTCTACTGAACTCTGTCCACTCCAACTTGACTGACCTCAAAACCCGCTCTTGTCTGCCTACCGCCGCCCCACACACCTCCCCCGAAATCAGTACCGGGACCAACGTACTCCAATGGCGGCATGTCGTCGTCGCTGTCCTTAGGTCTTGGACGAGTCAATATTATTTGGCCGCTCGGCCTGAGCATTTCGCATGCGTCGCATGCGTCATATGACCATTCGAACGATCCTGACCCGATCCACGATCGCAAGCGGGTCCTGCAGGAAATCCCACGGGGCTCCGATTGGCTCAGATCAGAAGTGTGAGATGACGAAGTGGAGGTGGTGCAGGACGGGGGCCAGGTAGGCGCTGGGACACAGGCCGCCGCATCAAATTACGCAGCCAAGAGCGGGGAAGACGACCAGGAAGACGCGGCGGGTTCAAACACAACCTGAACCAACAAACGCCTTGCCATATATGGTCCCGGGCTCCGGGCCCACGGGCCCCCCCCCCTCCCCCCCAGATGGTATGGTCCCAGGATTCCTCGGGCCCCCCCCCCCCAGATGGTATGGTCCCAGAGACGACGACGACGACGACGACGGCGACGACTACGACGACGACGACAACGACCACGACGACGACGACGACGACGGCTGCGGCGGCGACGACGCCGGCGGCGGCGGCGACGACGACGATGACGACGATGACGACGGCGACGATGACGATGATGACGACGACGACGAGGACGACGACCTCTGAACCACCACAGCACCACACCAGGAGGGGGGCACCGCAGCGCAGCACCACGCCACGCCCACCTCTGAACCACCACAGCACCACACCACATCCATAGGGGGGGGGGCACCGCAGCGCAGCACCACGCCACGCCCACGGGGGGGGGCGGGGGGCCCCCTCGCGCGGGGGGGGGGGGGCCAATGGCATCAGCATCGGGGGGGGAGGGGGCCCAAACCCTGGACCATAAATGGTCCCGGGCTCCGGGCCCACGGCCCCCCCCCCCCCAGATGGTATGGTCCCAGGTCCTCGGGCCCCCCCCCCCCCCAGATGGTATGGTCCCAGAGCAGAGACGACGACGACGACGACGACGGCGACGACGGCTGCGGCGGCGACGACGCCGGCGGCGGCGGCGGCGGCGACGACGACGATGACGACGATGACGACGGCGACGACGACGATGACGACGACGACGAGGACGACGACGACGACCTCTGAACCACCACAGCACCACACCACATCCACAGGGGGGGGGGAGGGGGGCACCGCAGCGCAGCACCACGCCACGCCCACCTCTGAACCACCACAGCACCACACCACATCCACAGGGGGGGGGGCACCGCAGCGCAGCACCACGCCACGCCCACAGGGGGGGGCGGGGGGGACCATCGCGCGGGGGTGGGGGGGCCCAATGGCATCAGCATTGGGGGGGGGCCCAAGCCCTGGACCATATATTGGGAAGCAACTGTTTACTCCCGCAAGCTTTCGCCGAGCTTCCGCTGGTGGAGGCGGCCTCTTTTTACTTCCGCCGCCTTCCGCCGAGGAAGAGATCACGACTCCTTCGATCCTCGAAGGCGAGGAACTTGCTTGAATGCCTCACGCAAGGGGAGGACAAGAGAACCCAACATAACATCGAATCGATAAGACGGATCGGCGATCGAAATGAATCGGACAAGCGGGACTCGGCAGCCGAGTCGGGAAAAGTCGAACCTGCGAACATCGGCAGGCCAATCTGCCTCCAGTGAGGAATCGGAGCCCACATCGGAATCCCAAGTCGAATCCAATCGGAATCGGAATGCATCGAAATCAAATCGGATTGACTCGGAGGAGTCGTAATCAAGGGGCACAAGGACACACGAATAAATACACACAAATAAAAAGATGCCCCATAGTTTCTAAATTTTCTGGGTTTTTGTCTTCCCGCCCACTTCCCATATTTTCCCCTATTTTCTTGGGGGTCGACGATTAATTGTGTCTGTGTGCTTCTTCCCCCCCTGACGTAATCCGCCCTGCCTGGGACGCAGCGCAGCACCGAGGGGTGGTGCAGGACGAGGTGACGGTGGAGGCGGAGGTGGCGCCTGCACTGCAGGCGCCGTCGCAGTGCGTGCGGACGCCTCTCCCTCCTGCGTCCTCATCCATCCTATCCCTCCTCCTTCCTCCCTCCTCCTTCCTTCCTCCCTCCTCCTGCTCCTGCTCCTCCTCCTCTTCCTCCTCCTCCTCCTCCTCCCTCCTCCTCTTCCTCCTCCTCCTCCTCCTCCCCCACCTCCTCCTCCTCGTTATCCTCCGCATTCCTCCTCCCTCATCCTCCCTCCTGCTCCCTCCTTATTTCACTGATCCTCGTCTTCATTCGTGTCGCTCTTATCGTTTCTCTCCTTCGCCTCCTCCTAGTGTGAAGAGGGATTGCAGGAGGGGCGTTGTGTGGTGGAAAGATGAGTGCATCTCCGAGTGAAGGACGGGGGCATGACACTTGTTGGGACGGCTGGGGGGTGGGAAGATCATTTTCGAAAGCTTTGTGACTCGTGAGGGGTGAAAGGCGAAACCAATGAGGATCGACAAGAGTACCAGTGTAAATGCATTTCCGCATACCGCACTATCTCAGGTCAATTTTGATTCTGGCGGACCCCTCGGCAGAGGAGGGGGGCGGGGAGTTTGCAGAGACGTCGATAACGATCTGCCTGTAAGTTTACGCGTGTCCGCATTACCTGGAGGGCTAGATGTGGGCGCCGACGCTTGCACTCAGGAGTGTGCGATTCAAGCGTTCACATGGAATGCGTGCGGGATAGGATCAGATTCGGTAGAAAAATTGATTGGCATGCTGAGTGTAGGCCAGGTGGGATGGGATTGGGACGTGTTTCTCTGCAGGAGGGGCCAAGACTGCACGACACTGCTTTACAGGAACTCCACGGAGGACACTTGTTTCACACAATGGCTGCTGCGGATTGCTACCGGGGCACGGCCATACTGCTAAACAAGCGCTGGGCGAACGCCAGCGGGGAGCCGGTATTCTCAAGCCCGAACGGGCACATTGCGATATTGGATCTTCAGTTGCAAAGCCCGGAGTGCAGATCCATCTCTGCACATTGTCCGCATGGAGGCGATGATGAGAAGTATATGGGGAGCCTCCCAAAAAAATGAGGCGTACGTCAAACTCGGCCGCAGACAGCAACGTTCGAATTTGTTGGGCTCGATGAGAACGCTGTGATCGGCAGGCATAGCGAATGGGACTATCCCAAGCTGGTTGGTAAATGGGGCTTGGGGGGAAGTTGCGATAAGGGGTGATGTGTGTTGTCGACTGGCTGCATACGAACAAGCTGGTCGCAACAAACACGCATAGGCGTAATAATCAATACTATGCCAGGTGACGCACCAGAGGTGGGAGACAGGCTAACGGTTGCAAATCGATTTCATCTTGTGCGGTAAAACGATAGCGCCTGCTCTCGTCGATGCGGCGGTGCACGATGTCATCCATTTCGCGTCAGACCACCGTTGCTTGGTTTCGACATTCAAATTCCAACAAGCCCGAAAGCCCAGGGAAATTACCCTGGCGACGTACCCAACCCCTTTAAAATGCAGGGCAGGAGTAGCTTGGGAGATTTGACGAGAAGGCGGTGACGTGACATGGACGCATATATACTTCTGCGTGCGGCATTCGGAAGCTTCGCAGGTCCCCAATCTAGGGAAAACGATGAGCAACTAAGTGAACATTTGAGTCACTAAGGAACGTGGGCAAGGGGCTTGAAACGTCGGCGGGGCAGCAACAACATGACATAGCCCCCCAGGGACGGCGAGGTCCCGCTCAGGTCTGCGCAGTGCCTCGCTCCGCTGGACCCACCAGCAGCCTTCGAAAGTGGCGAGCCCACCAGGAGCCCTCGAACATGGCGACAACTTCGCAGATCGCAACCCCCCAAGGACGGGGAAGTCTCGCTCAGATCCGCGCGGTGCTTCACTCCGCTGTACCCACCAGCAGCCCTCGAAAATGGCGACGGTTTCGCAGATCGCAACCCCCCAGGGACGGGGAAGTCTCGCTCAGATCCGAGCGGTGCCTCACTCCGCTGGACCCACCAGCAGCCCTCGAACGTGGCGACGATTTCGCAGATCGCACCCCCGCAGGGACGGCGAGGTCTCGCTCAGATCCGCGCGGTGCCTCACTCCGCTGGACCCACCAGCAGCCCTCGAACGTGGCGACAATCTCGCAGATCGCAACCCCCCCAAGGACGGGGAGGTCTCGCTCAGATCCGCGCGGTGCCTCACTCCGCTGGACCCACCAGCAGCCCTCGAAAATGGCGACGGTTTCGCAGATCGCAACCCCCCAGGGACGGGGAGGTCTCGCTCAGATCCGCGCGGTGCCTCACTCCGCTGGACCCACCAGCAGCCCTCGAAAATGGCGACGGTTTCGCAAATCGAAACCCCCCAAGGACGGCGAGGTCTCGCTCAGATCCGCGTGGTGCCTCACTCCGCTGTACCCACCAGCAGCCCTCGAAAATGGCGACGGTTTCGCAGATCGCAGCCCTCCAGGGACGGCGAGGTCTCGCTCAGATCCGCGCCGTGCCTCACTCCGCTGGACCCACCAGCAGCCCTCGAACGTGGCGTCAATCTCGCAGATCGAGGCAAGGAGAGATGAGACAGAAGGAGGGGGGGCGGGAGGCGGGAGGCAGGAGGCAGGAGGCGGGAGGAAGGAAGGAAGGAAGGAAGGAAGGAAGGAAGGAAGGAAGGAAGGAAGGACGCGCGACCAGTGCTTTATTCAAAACGAAGACCCAAACAAGGAGGGTTGGGAACAACAACAACGCTGCGAAACAAACGGGGTGGAATTTGTTACTGGATGACAATGAACTGAAAGCTTCTCCCAAAAGATGCCTGAGACTGTGGAGGAGCTTCACACGACTGTCAAGTAACCGGCGTCCGACTAAAAATACAATATCGATGATAAGCTCGGGGTGCTCGTCGAGCAACGGAAGGCGTGCTTTTCGCCAGAGGAGCGCAAAAGTTGTCCAAACAGATTATGTGATGTCCGTCTTAGAGAAAGAATGCGCGCAGAGAGGCCAGATTGGATCAACTACTCCAACGCAATGGAAGAACGAATCAATTAGGTCGCAGACTGGCGGCCCGTAAGAGACGGCAGATAATTGTGGCAAGTGAAGGAAAGACAGT